AAAAAAAAAAAAAAACCTAAAAACGTTAATTTTATCTTTCTTTTATTGTAATATATAAAAATGCGAAAATATGAGAATAACTCTAAAGAATTCAAGGAAAAACCAAATGCATTAACCTCTCATTAGTTGAAACTCCAATGTTTGAAAGGGAAAGCTTCTGGTTGTATATTTCTTTTTATGAATGGTTCTTGAATCCTAGAATGTGTGCAGAAGCAATCGATTCATTGGTTGTGATAATAATGCTAAAAAGGTTTGTCTTTGATTGCTCCATATTGCAGAGATACAAGGTTTAATAAAATTTTTAGTTGATAAAAAAACAAAAAGGTCGAAACTCCAATGTTGAAGTCCCCAACTTTGATGAGTTGTATTCTAGACTCAAGTGATCAGTTAGTGCATAAGATACAACTTAAATATGGCTCAATGCCCTCAAATACAATGTTAGAAACGCATGGAGACGGGATTACAAAGCTGAAAATGAAATGAGCTAAGATGCAGCGACAGGAATTGGTTTTACTGCACTTTGAATTCGCCGAAAAGCAGTTCTTACCCTTTCCTTGAGACCTTCATTTTCACTCTCAACATCCCCAGTCTGTTTATCAAGGTGAGCCACAGTTCCATCAACATTTATCATTAACCTCCCATCTTCTCCCAACTTCACGTCTCCGAAGAGTGAAACAAGGAGTGCATGAATAACCTTTTCTGCTTTCTTCCCATTTTCTTCCTCTGTTTTCACAGCCTCAGAGTCAACTACTACCTTGGGGATTTCACGGCTGATATTCAGAACCAGAGCCACAATAGAATCTGACACCATGTCACTTACAGGATCTGAGGTCCAATGAAGTGAGATATGTTTTTCTGAATCCTGCTTCACTGTCACTCGATCATGTACTTGCAGTGTTGGAACACCAGATTCTTCATCTGTTGAAGATTCCACACTCTCATAGATTTGCTCAAGACGATGCTTTATCACACCAAAGGCACCAGAATAGGGGATGGTAATCCTCTGAGTGATATTTGTGGTTGTTAACTGTGAGAAGACATGGAGATCATCAGGAGCCATGATCTGGTATGTGAAACCCTTCTTTACCAGAATTCCACTGACTGTTTCACCAACTTCAGGAGTCTTCTCAGCCAATCTTCCAATGGTTTTAGCCATTTTTTCAGAGTTAAAGTACATCTCAACAGACTGACAATTCTTAGGGGTGATGATCTTGGTGTTGCCATCAGAAAACTCAGTAATAAGCTTCTGTTTAAGTCTCCCCATCTCGTTTGCTTCACCATGAACAAGAATTATGTTGGGAGGCATAAGCTCTTTCAAAAAGGTACTTGTCTGAGCATAGTCAGCATGAGCAGAGAAGGAAATGTAATGAACCTGCATGTTGAGGGGAGCAGTGAGGCCATTCATGAGAGTCACTTCCTTTGGTTCATTGATAATTGTTTTTGCCAGTGTACCTTCAACAACATAACCAGGAATGACACAAGCATTTCTCTTATCAGCACACCACATGTCAAACAGTTGTCTTGACAACCCACTTTGAAGACCACTAGGACTTGCCATCACCACACATGGACCGACATCTTTAAATTCATCTATGCTATTCAAAGAATCAATGTGTTTGAATTTGAATGGATTTGAAGTAGCAAACTGATTGCGGATTCTCTCATTCATGGAAAGTATGTATGTCTGATAAACAGCCATACACTTCTTTGCAAGTGGAGAAGCATAGTATATCCGAATATTATGGAGCTCAGGATGGTTTGACCAATACTCATCAAGGATCAGCAGAAGTTCTTGGGCACGACCAAGGGCAAATGCTGGGATGAGAACACGACCCCCCTGAGAAACAGTTGAATGGATGACATCAGTAAAGCGCTTCTCCCGAATGTGTCGTGGTTGATGAAGCTGGACACCATAAGTAGATTCAATGATGCATATATCTGGGGAGAACTGAGGGAGCTCAGCAGCACGGAGATGCCTATCCTCTTCCCGAGAATAGTCACCAGTGTAGAGAACTCGAACTCCAGCAATATCAACCATGAACATGGCAGCACCAAGAACGTGACCAGCAGTATAGCACCAGAATTTAATGCCATTTACCTCCACTGTTTGGTGGAAGTCAATAACCTACAGACAAGCATGTAAAATCACAATTTCTTAATTGTCCTAGTGTTTAAATGAACAACCAATATCACAGTATCATCATTAGAAAGACTACCAAATTGAGGTCTACAGCCTGTTAATATTCAAGTAGATAAAGAAAAGGTAAGTATAAAAAAAGCTTTATACCTTAACATTCATAATTTAAATACTACTCACTGCAAATAATGCATACTTGACAAAACTACTAATATTGCTATCGATGGACTAACTAGTTCAATTAGATAACACATGGCCATATGAGGAAAAAGGGAACAGTCACTTTAACAAATCAGGTCACTTATGAGTTATGACTCATTAACAAGAAAGTCAAGTATCAAGCAAATGCTCCTACGTAAAAGGTTCCAATATTTTACTAAACAAGTATCTTTTAATGCAATGCATTTTTCTTAGATTGTTGATATAGTTTAATTAAGAGAACATTTCAGACTCCTGTTATAAGAATAGGATCAGCAGAATAATTGAAAGATCAGATACCATGGTAAGCTACAACTACAAACAACAAACCTAGAATGGTTCAAAACTACATCTGCACAAAACTTAAAATGCATACCTCAATTTTATCCATTGAGCGACTGATGTCTTGTTCATCAAACAGCATGTCTTCAACTGAAACTTTGCTAACTTTTACATAATCAGACAGCAGCAGCCTGTAGATAGCCTTAGTTGCATGAGTCATGAATACTCGACCTCTGAATGTTGTCTGGTAGAAATTTAATCTTGT